GCAAATGTGAGGTCGAGTGATGTCATATGTTCGATGTTCTCCAAGTTCGTGGGCAACGAGTGCGTGCGTGTGTCGAGCGATGAACGTGTTACGCGTTAGTAACGTTTCGAAAGTATCACGAGGAAGAAAGACTTGCGATACTCGCGTATATTAATCTTCAGGAAACAGAATATGGCGATCGAATCATATTAATACCGAATGATTGATAAGTCACTTCATATAGATACATATATTGAATTAAAATACGTTGCAGAATGATATTTTTAATTACTTTATATCTCATGTATCGTATTTTGATTTAGATCTGCGCGTCAGAATTTCTCTTCTTTTTATATCAAATTTTAATAGATTATTATAAAAGTGAAAGGTTGAAAAATCAAACTCGTAAATTCCATGAAAAGAATATTTAACATAAAATAATTAACATAATTAGCATAAAATTTTAAATTTCTTTTATATAAAATATATAAACATTCTGACAATCATGTCTAATCTCATTTTAAAAATCTCTTTTTTTTCTCACAACATATATTTGACATCGTTTGCAAATTTTCGACTCGCGAGTCTCGAGAGATGCGATCATCGTCGTCGGACAAAAAAATTAAAAAGTAAATTCTGTACTCGCGGATTCGCGAGACTGAGTTTTCCGTCACTCGTGAAATTTTTTTTACCCTCCTCGAGGAATTTATCCACGAGTGGTCGGTGAACATCAGAGTGTCTCTCGAGTGTTTACGATTCAGCTTGGCCGCGAATCAAACGGAATAATCGTAAATCCTATAGAGTGCCTGTCCTGATTCTCTAGCGGAACCAATTGGCGAGAACCGTCTCTTCTCGTCGTTCACGTGGCTCGTTATCGTCGAGTTGAGACTCGTGCCGCTTCTCGTCGTTCACTAAAGAGCGTAATGCGACCGTCTAATTCGGACGGTCGATGTATTTTCTCGGAAATCCCTCAAAAGGACTCTGTGTCTCTGTATCAGCAGGTGGGTCAATTAACGAGTCGAAGGGGGCTTTATTGACCGGCTGCTCCCTTCAAGTTTCCAACGACGACAGACAAACAATGTAACTAGGAATCTCTAATTGCTGTAACGATGCCGGAACGTCCCATGATGCGGATGAATGCACGTGCAAGTAGCGTAAATGATTCCGTTTTCCTAAACTGTGATTTCTCTCGTTAGTAAGAATTCTCCGCCCTTTATTGACGAGAGAACCGTTGTTAGAGAAAAAAATATCGCATCTTATAACGCTATCGGGAATTGTAAATATCGATATTCCGTTGCCGATTCATTAATTAATCTAAAAATTTGTACGTTAAAACATTTAGCGCTCGTCGAGAACTTGTAATTTTACTTAATTGAATTCTCTCTTAATTATAATACAGACGATTTTGATTTCCAATATTGAACAATTGCAAGTAAGACTACTAATAACTTTGCGAATAAACGGGCCAATGTTTTCGCGCTGAACTTTAGCAATTAATCGAGCGCGGCGAAAGAACGGGTTGGAAGTAGGTGGCTAAAAGCGGCCGCGACGGTTTCTGCCCCTCGGAACTCTGTTCGTCCACCCATTTCTCACTCCATCGACCTCTCCCTCCCTAGTATTTCATCTCACTTTCTCGTTATTTCCGTTTATCCACCACATGCGTTCTCGCACGTTAAATTACGTTCGCGTCGTTCCAACGAAATCTAACGAGACGTAAAAAAAATTTTTAATTGCAAGAATTAAAGATCCGAGATATAATTAATTTCTTAAACAGATATTAATTTATCTGGAAAAAAATACAGAGGAGAGAATATATTTTTTGTATTATCTCTGCGCGTCGCACAAATGTTTGAGTAAAACGATCGAATTTTCCGTTTTTCGCGACGTTTCTCTTTCAAATAAAGAGCGATTTTTAGACGCGCGGATTTAAAAAAAGTCGTCCCGTCGTCATCGGAACCGGAGGTGGAGTTCGTCGCACTTTTCGCGGGCCATATACGCGAGAGCTTGAGTCAGCGAGAGAACTAACTCCGACATTTAAATTTATTTGAGGATAGTCGCGCGCAAACTCGGCACAGCCGTGAAAAATAACGGGAAAACGAATGAAACCGCGTTGCGACGCGTGGGAGGAGAGGAGCTTGTTTTTTTTTCACTTCTTGACGCAGAGCGCAACCGTCGTCGTCTTTCTTGCGTTCGCGCGCATCTAATTTAATTGACCTGCCCGACGTGATTCAATTTCCACGAACGAAACGATCCGGAGTCACGATCGCGGATCTCACGATGCGCTTGTATCGTGTCGTTTTCCATAATTTCAACGGAGAGAGACCTGTTTGCACAAACAGTATACAGAGTCGGACGATCAATATTTGGAAGCTCGATGCCGAAAGATGTTATATCGATGATTATTATCTAATGGACTTGATATTGACTCCTCGAACTACGATTGAAACTGACTCCTTCGATATTACGCTCGAATAATTAACAATCACATTTTTCTCTTTTTTTTCTCCTCGCATTCGGAATAATAAAGATGACGTCTGTCAGATTTGCACAAAAATGCAAATCGATAGAAGCAACGAGATTCGAAAAAGATCATTATCAGAAAATTACTTTTCCGTTCGAGGAAACTTTATGAAATAAACATTTAGCAAAGAATGAGAAATTACCTCGGCCTAATTGCAATCTCGATCGGTTTATTAAGGCATTATATTGTCGTAGCTCCGCGAGAGCAATTTGGCAAACTTTAGTCGACAGATTCGCGTGGAATGGAATCTGATCGGTTATTATTCCGTAATGATTGGGGTCGGCTGGTAGTAACGATGTTTGCAGAAAGAACGTACTTATTTGCGTCTATTACAGTTCGCGGGCGATATTTGCAGCGTGCGCGCGCGATCCGCTCTTGTAATAAGATTTATCGGGCCGTAGGCAGCAGCGCGCCGTGGATGTGTATCTCGCGCGGTCTGGTTTTGGTTAATAACACAGCAGGTCGGGACGGAGGCAGATACAAATTGCGAACGTGAAGCCGACGTGGCGAGAGTGCGAGCGAACTCGCGCGAACAATGGAGCCAACGATGCCCGGCGCAGCGAGATTGTGTGTTGTGTGTCGGGTGCTCTGGAAAAAATGTAAACGGAACGGAACGTTTGCTCGGTTAGGTTTGGGCGAGTTGAAATACACGATGAACGGACTGACGCTGACAAGTTTGCGATCGATAATCCTATAAATTCACCGTCTTCTCGCGTCCGAGCGCGAGATAAATCGATGCGCTGCCGCCGTCACGTTTCGGTCTTTTCACTAATCGTCGCCCCTTGCTCGCGAAATTATTTCCACCGCTCGCTCGGTGTCAATCGACCGAGGCTTTATTGTTTCGAAAGTGTTTTTTCCACGCGAAATGTCGCTTTTTCAAATCTTTCGTTTTTTATTTCACTACCGAATAAAGAGCGAATAATTAAGGAGAATAATACGTTGAGAAATTTAGCTGAAAAGTTTAATTATCTAAGAATATTTCTCGATCGATTACTCACTGATGCGTTTACCTTGCTCGTGTTCCTTCGCGGAAGAGACGTGGGATCTAAGGATGAATTGACGCGAGCTTAATTAAGATAATAGCCGCGCGAGTCATCGTCTAATTAATACACCGAGCTCTCGTCGAGGCGATTCTTATCGTTGATAAGGACGTCGGTTGACAAAAAATGGCCAAATGCTTATCGTGGGGTGGCTTAAGTCGTTTCGCGTGCGGAAGAGGAACATCTCCCCGCCGAGGAAAGCTGTAACGGGGGATTACGAGCTCGGCGTCCGGGTACCGTCTTAATAGCTTCATTCGATCGCGAAGAGCCCGTCGGGTAATTAATGGCCCTTCATTGTGTCCCGCCGCGAGAGCGGCGTCTCGGCAGGCGCGGCAATAAGGGCCGATGTCCTTCTCGCTCCGAGGAGGGGATAGGAAATTACCCTTTCGTGCGTTATTAATGGTTCCGCAAGCGCCATCCTGGCAATAAGCAGCCGGCAACAAGCCGAATTCCCGGCACGTACACACGCCGGCTTAGCTGTGTATTGTTGTGTTTCTTCGCCACGTGCCATGCCGCCGCGACTCGGCTACGCCTTCGACAAACGCCCGTATACAATTAAACGCGACGCGCCTCGACGTTCCTGGCGAGCATCGTTTTATCCTGCCCCGCTTCTAAATCTCGGTCCCGCTGTAAACAAGGTACCATTCCATTTTCATTTTTTTGCCATACAAATGCTTTAGGCGTTTGTCTTCAATTTTTCATCAGTGACGTTATCTTTATTTTCGTAAAGAAAAATAACAATTAACGAGATATAGAACGAATGAAATAAATTATTGATTTTTTTTAAAGATCAAATTTGTCCGAAAATTCATCGTAATCTTACTTGATTCATATAATGCATGAACAGCATAATGATTATAAACATTTTATTTGATACAATATAATTATTGGCGATTATTTGCGAGAGATTAAGTACGTATTTTTTTAATAAAAAAAACATTTCACAAAGATCGATGCGATTTTCGTTCATAACGGGTATTATCGCAGTTTTCACACGGATGATCCGTTTTTCCAACGAACGTCGTCTCGTCGTCCTTTGGAAATGGATAAAGGCAAAGCGCGATATCGACATATAAATAATTTATCTCGAGAGCGGTTTCGCGTACGAGACGTGACGCAACGCGGCGACGTTGACGATGTGCGTTGCATGAAATATGAAATCCAATATAAACTTTCGAACGATATAAAACCTTGAGCCTGACCACTATTCGCGTCGCGTCTACGACGCGAAGTAGCGCAATCCTTTTAACTCTCTAATCACTCTCTAATAACCTTTTCACTCTCTCCTTTACAACATTAAGTAGCCGATTAAAATTCATTAATCGGAAATCACCAGTAGGATACTTTAATCTCGTTTAGAGACAAATCCATTATATCCGGCGCACGATTGAATAAATTACGAGGCGTACCGCAACTTGACGAGCGTAAAACTCATTTCGCCATTTTTCTGTTTTTTTCAGGATGCAGAGACAAAGCCGGCGTAGCTCGGAGGTGGAGGTTGCGCTTATGCGCCCTGTAAGCACAGCTGGCTAATAGCCTCGGAGCCCGTCCCCGACACCCTGCAGCCACACCAGGTAAGGATTTCTCTTCTACTTGTACATACACTTGTAGGCTAAGGGCTTGCCGTTTCCTTCTCGTGTTTTTACCACACAAAATCAGGATCGCGCCGCCGCATTCTCGCGAGTGTGAAAACGCCCGTGTTGAGCACACACGCGAGGCTGCAATTAACTGTTAATTCTTTCGTTTGAAAGGAATTAACGTTCTTCGAAGTGAAGTGACCATGACGAAAAGATTATTATTAATATTCGCGCGGTATGTCCAATATATACTTGCTTATTAACCTCGCATGTTGCGAGACAATTAGTCATAAATCGATAGCCATACTTCAACTTCCGGATTTACCGGAAAATATTTGAAAAATTTTATTTGGAGATATCCTTTCTTTAAAAAATTATTTTTGCTAGATCTTGGGCCACTTTTTTATGTCTATGCAATGTATCGGGCAATTTTGTCTAAATCCGATACAATTTCTTAATCTTGCTCGGATTATGAACTTGAATAAGAAGTAAGATAATTGTTGTCTCTCATCGCTGTGTCATTACAAAAGAAATTGCAAATGTTCCAATGTCATACAATAATGGAGAGAATACAAATAGGTTCATTTATATTAAAATATCATTTATACATGTAATTATCGATGAATATACTATTAATTTGGAGCTTTTATAATTTCATGATATTTTGCGTCATTTGTGGATACGCGATAAAAAAATAGGCAGCAGTTTTTAATTACCGAATTAATTCGAGATATTAAAAAATCGAAATGTTATGAAAAAATAATCTTTTTTAATTAGATACTTGTTTCGAACATTACAAGATTCGATTTGTTTCATCATTTATTATATATGCGTGCATTTCAAATTATTTTCCTCCCGGGGAATATATTTTAAAACTTTTCGTTTATTTTTATTTTCAATTTTCTGCACGAAATATATGAATTCGCGTTTAAAAGCGATGTTTACGATATATTTGCTATTTTAATTTGAAGCAACTCGTGCTCGCGACTCGTACAATCGCATTATACGTACTCAAGTATATCGCACGAGAGAAACCGCGAATCGCCAAGTGAGAATAAAAAGTAAACAAGAAAAAGGTAGGAGAAGGGGGAGCGCAAACGGAGCGAAACGGTATTCTTTCGGCGAGAGCCCGACCAACCACACGTATATCTAGAAACTGTGCTGGCGCGCGCGCGTAAATCGCGCACGTAAATTGCATAATGCAAATCAGCGTCGTTCCGGCCGAAAGCTCCGCGGGGGAAAAAGGATCCATCAAAATTCATGGTCGCTATATGCCGGTGGATAAAGCGGTGCTTTCTCGCGTAAGCGCAACGACCGTTTCTTGCAACTGCATTTTTCGGCGAGCTGCAACCCGAATCGCCGCACCGGGAATTGCCGGCATTGAATGGACGGAGACGCGACTCTCCGTGTATTTTCTCCGGGGAACGAGCGACAAAGTTTTATCCGCCGTCCTCGTGTCGACGTATACACGCGTCCGGAGACGTCATTTTTCTCGATGCGCGCTCTTCTCCGCGCATTTTTCTCTCGTTTCACGGGGGGGGGGGGCGAGAGCCGCGGGTGAGATGCATTTATTCATGTTTCATCGTTTCTCCTTCGTCGCACCTCAAGGCGCGCGCTGTCACGAAAACCAGAAATACTCCGCCTCATTCGCTCGTGAACGAGTATTCATATTCACGGGTACGTTAAATAAATATCTCGTTCCGCGATAGACGGATCGGTCCATGAATCCGCTCCTCTCAATCATAGATTTATAATCTGTCGTAATTCGATGTAATTTATCTGGTAAAATTTATCTCGTTTGTAATCGATAATCTCTGCGAGTTGCTCGGCAAATTAATATATTTTATTTAAGATACATAAACAGGCTTATTGCTGTACATCGCATATAAAAGACACGCAGTAGGCACGTATCGTATGTGTATATTCTTCGGTTAATAAATATCCGTTATATCGATAAGCCGTTTAATCGAAATTTCCTCGGAGGATTAAATTCCTTCCTGGAATTAATTGAATTTTCGGGAATTTGTTCGCGAGAGACTCGTCAGACGAGTGAATTTTCCGCACCTCGTTGAATATTTCACGATCACTTGTTGTCATCGCTTTGCAAATTTACCGCTATTAGACAACTACTCTTGGCGGATAAGATTTCGCCCAGAACTTGTAGAACCATATAAAAGACCTTTTTCCGCTTTCCCATCGTGATCGACCGCGCAAAATTGCTCGGGAAAACTCCGGTAATAAGTCGTCGGGGCAGATCGACGGATTCTTTTCTATTGCATCCACGTTTCGAACGGACGCACGTGCTCGAATGTTGGAAATCTTTCTCCGGAAATCAAAGCACATTTAAGATAAGAGCGAGATGTCTTTGGCGATAATACGCTCTATCATCGATAATATTTTGCGATTATCGTACCAATTAATGCCAATAAATATATATATAATAATATATAATCAATAAATATATATAAGACAATAAATATTGCGAAATTTTTTCGTATTATCGATCGTGTTCAAAATTGTACAAGAGTAATTGTACACTGCCGTATTCAATCATCGCGAATGCCGGGGAAACGTATATCCAATTTCGGCAAAAATCCCTGATAAACACGTCCTCCGTGCGTGCGACTTGGCGGTCGAGTATCGAGCGACCTTAGAATTTCGCGTAGAAGCCGCGAGAGAGACCGATTCGCGAACAAACGAATGAAGGAGACAGTCGGAGCTATGTAAGCGATTCTACTTTGCATGAATATTCAATATCGAGAGCCGTGATTTTGCAAGCCGCCTACTCTTTATCGAAACTTTCTCGCGTCTCCCGACACCGTCAATGATAATAACCGTCCGTGAAAGGAATTCTTTTCTCACGCTTTTATCGAGAAAACCGATATGTGTTTTTATCTTTCCCCTCCTTGCTTTTTCTTGTTGCTTATTTCTTTCCCTTTATTATCTTGTTTGTTTTATTCAGATACACATCAATTACATATTAATTCCAAGCGTAAAAATAATAATCTTTCCTTTTCTTTATTTGTTAAGAAATTCGCGTTATATGTGTCATATTTACTGTGAAAAGAATGTTTTTCGTTATTTTATTATCAAAATTCTCTGATATATTGATATATTGATACATTGATACATATTAATTGTTTATTTACGCATTATTTACTTAGAATTTGTTATTGTATTATCGCATATTATATTAATTCCACAAATAAAATATTGATAATTTGTCTCTTCCATTATTATAATGAAATTTCATTATGCATAGTTAATCGAATCGCTAACAAATCGCCGACTTCGAAAATTGCACAAACCTAATTAAATCGACCGTGAACCGCGATCTGTCACTTGAATTATAATTTTCGCGACACTTATTAATTATGTACGATTCCTATACTTTTCTTTTTTTATGTCTTTTCCCCATGTCTCTTTTTATCTAATATTTTCAAAAACTAGCGTTTCTTCATATCGGTTGATGTATGCCGATTAAAAATTTGCCTTCTAAATCAAGCGATGATAAAACGTCGTGTCAGGATCGCTTTTTTAAATTGCTTTTACGTGCTCGCGTAATACATTTACTTACTAACACAGCATAGCTAAAATTTACGAGAGAGCTCTTACGTAAACTTTATTTTTCGATTCCTCATTTATTTTGTACAGGCGAAATTCTTCAAAATTAAATATGTATGTTGAAATAAGTGAATTCGCAATTAACATACTTAAGTTGATATGAGTTATGATATTCTTATATTCTTATATAAGTAATAACAAGAGGAGGGTATGTAAACAAATCCTGACAAATAAATTTGTTTGTCCGACATAGTTTCGACTTTGTTTTTTAGACAAAGATAAAAAGAGCTTGGAAATTCGTTATATTGTTCAAATCTTCGAAAGCTCCGCTTTTTCTCATTAGTCTTTCTGTAGGTTACGTAAAATTTCGCGAAATAATTCAACGGTATTTTCAATCGTGTCCATATGCGAGGAAGGGAAGGCGGAAGGACATGTCAGCTGCAACGATCGTCGGAGCTTTTGTGCGCGCGCTTGCGGAGGCTGTGCAATGAAATGAAATTCGGTCCTGGTGTCGATCGCTTGTAGCACAGCAGCTAGACCGGAGTTTATCTACACGCACATTCGCACTTGCACCCGCCGGCCGTATTAGCAACAATCGACGATAAACCGCACCGATAAACGCGCCCATTGAACGTCGTGCGGTCGACATGGCGTAACGAAACGCGCACTCGATGAAACACACTATGAGATGAGTTTTTCTATCTCTCAAATTCTTTTTATGACGCGTGGCTTTCTTCGCTTTAACGAATTTTCTCTCTAAGAGGATTATCCAATCTTTTTCTCTATAAATGATTCGTTTCACGAACATTAATTGAAATTAATTTCTCCCTCTTTCTCTTTTTGAAATAAAAGGTACATGTCAATTTTCACTTTTTACCAGAGACAAAATTAAAGTAAGAGCAACAGGGAATTTTAGATAATTTGAGGAATATTTTATTATATTTGCAATAAAGGATTAATTATTGGTCGTTCGGCAATAATCTGGCAATAACGAATCGATAAGCGGGACCGATAACTCTCGGCGCGGACACAGGTGGTTCGCATCGTTGCTAGATGCGGCCGCGGGCTCAATGTTGTATCGATGACACATTTGCCCGAATACGGGTCCGAGTCGTACGTGTTCGTGGACGGGCCGTAATTATTTGCGTCACCAGAATCGTAAATCACCATCGCGAGCGAGCGACGTGCGATCGGATTAAAAGCGCTAAACTTGCGGACGGTCCGGTCATGAATTTTTTCTTTTACCTGGCTATGAAATCTATTTCGCCCGCTCGAAATTCGTCATGGAAGATGACTTATTCACATACGGCGACGGATTGCGATTATTTATCGTACAAATTTGGACAACGAAATATACGCGCGAGCTGCCCGCGGGAAATGTGACTAAATAATGATCGTGATTTATTCGTAGCATTTATTATCATTTCGCGTTG